TTTCAACTCTCTCTAAAAAACAACAAGAATAATAAATGTTAAGACTCCTATTATTCAAATAATCATGATACCAATAATAAATAAGGAGAGTTAAAAAATACTTCATTCTCTTAATAGTGAGAAATTATAATTATTAATTCTCTAAACTAAGGATTAACAAGAAAAATTAATGAATTAATCATATAACTTAATTTTTTTATCAATTAAAATATTCATATAAATAAAAAAATCCTATATTATTAGAAAATCAAGCAATGCATAAGTTGAAATGATTTTTTAATCACTTAATTTACCTCTATTTTATCAATTTCAAATCTACACAAAGTCCGAACTTCTATTTTACAAAATTACATAAGATAGTTTTATCGATTTTGCAGTATATAACTTAAAGTTAGAGTAATAGAAATTCAATATTAAAAATAAGAGATGATAAATTGCACCCACCATTTTTAAAATCAAATCACTTTGATATGTAAAGCTCCTCACAAGTGTTAATTTTACAGAAAACTTTGTTCCTAATGCTAATATGAACATGGAGTAGATTTAAAACATACAATTCCTTTAAAAATATTTCGAGAATTAGCTATGAAGAAATTAAAAGACCTCAACCTTAATGATACAACTGAGTAAACCAAATAGAGATTGACCTTTAAATCATTGCTCTCTCAATCTGAATTAATGTTGAATAAAATTTGGAAGGAGTTGTCACAATCAATCAAATAAGTATATGATTAGATAGAGAAGGAAAACTAATCATACTTAAACCTCATCAACGAAAATACAAATTTAGCTGAATCCTCTTACATAGATTTGGAAAATTTAGTAAACATTGTAGAAGGATCAACTTTAATAGATTGGAATGCGTAGAAGAATTCTTAGATGATAGAATTAGATAAGACCATGAGTTGGTGGGACCTTCATATTAAGGCATTTATTCAAAAGTCTAACCAAGGAATCCAATAGATCCAATCATTAATTAAGTAAGTATTTATTGATTATTGTAGAATTTAACCTAATCAAGAATTATCAGAAGAAGTGTATTAGAGGAAAGAAGATCTTGTTGAAATGCTCACGTACCTCCAGGATATAGATGAATCTCTCTATAAAAAGCTTTTTGAAATACTTAGTAAAAAGAAAGTTTTAGACGTTATTGAATTCCTGTCGAAGACAAACAATCATCAGTTTTATGAATCTTTAAACAACAACCAAGAGAATATAAAAGATGTGAAGAAGCAAGTAAAGATAATCACAAATGTCTTGAAGAATATATAGGATCATAAATTTAGTAAGGATGATTATTCTTCAGAGACTTTTGAAAAGGCAAGATAAGATCTAATAAAGAGGTTGAAAGATAATAAAGGAGTAATAGATTTTATCAAATTTATTGTTCTCCTTACAAGTTTAGATGTAAAATTTATTCAATGTGGATCAAATGGACTTAGTTTATTAGTGGCGATGAAAGTTGATGTTAGGAAACAATCCTTTGAGAATATTAGGCTGACGAATACTTCTTTGATATGTGGAAACTTTGTACGATGCAATTTTAATGGATCAGAATTTGAGAATGTGGATATCAGTGGAGTCAATTTTAATGGTGCTTAGATGTTCAATTGTAAATGGAAGAATATTAAAGTTCATGAATTGAATAAATTGGATGGTCATAGTAGTTGTGTGAATTCAGTCTGTATTTCTGCTGATGGAAATACATTAGCTTCTGGTAGTGATGATAAGTCTATCCGTCTATGGGATGTCAAAACAGGATAATAAAAAGCCAAATTGGATGGTCATAGTGATTATGTTAGAGCAGTTTGTTTCTCTCCTGATGGGAATACATTAGCTTCTGGTAGTTATGATAACTCTATCTGTCTTTGGGATGCTAAAACTAAGAAAACAATAGTCAAATTGGATGGTCATAGTGATTATGTTAGAGCAGTTTGTTTCTCTCCTGATGGGAATACATTAGCTTCTGGTAGTGGTGATAACTCTATCTGTCTATGGGATGTCAAAAAAGGATAATAAAAAGCCAAATTAGATGGACATTGTAATGGAATCTGGTCTGTATGTTTCTCTCCTGATGGAAATAAATTAGCTTCTGGTAGTAGTGATAACTCTATTCGTCTTTGGGATGTCAAAACAGCAGAATAAAAAGCCAAATTAGATGGTCATAGTGGATATGTAATGTCAGTCTGTTTCTCACCTGATGGAAATACATTAAGTTCTGGTAGTTTTGATAAGTCTATTCGTCTATGGGATGTCAAAACAGGATAATAAAAAGCCAAATTAGATGGTCATACTCATTATGTCTACTCAACCTGTTTCTCTCCTGATGGAAATACATTAGCTTCTGGTAGTGTAGATTAGTCTATCCGTCTATGGGATGTCAAAACAGGATAATAAAAAGCCAAATTAGATGGCCATACTAATACTGTCTACTCAGTCTGTTTCTCTTCTGATGGAAATACATTAGCTTCTGGTAGTGTAGATAACTCTATCCGTCTATGGGATGTCAAAACAAGATATTAAAAAACAAAATTAGATGGTCATAGTAATACTGTCTACTCAGTCTGCTTCTCTCCTGATGGAAATAAATTAGCTTCTGGTAGTAGTGATAAGTCTATCAGTCTATGGGATGCCAAAACAGGATAATAAAAAGTCAAATTAGATGGTCATAGTGGAACGGTTCACTCAGTCTGCTTCTCTCCAGTTGGAAATACATTAGCTTCTGGTAGCGAAGATAAGTCTCTATGTCTATGGGATGTAAAAACAGGATAATAAAAAGCCAAACTATATGGTCATACTAGTACTGTCTGCTCAGTTTGTTTCTCTCCTGATGGAAAAACATTAGCTTCTGGTAGTGATGATAAGTCTATCCGTCTATGGGATGTCAAAACAGGATAATAAAAAGACAAATTAGATGGTCATTAGTATTAAGTCATCTCAGTCTGTTTCTCTCCTGATGGAAATACATTAGCTTCTGGTAGTGTAGATTAGTCTATCCGTCTATGGGATGTCAAAAAAGGATAATAAAAAGCCATATTAGATGGTCATTAGTATTAAGTCATCTCAGTCTGTTTCTCTCCTGATGGAAAAACATTAGCTTCTGGTAGTTATGATTACTCTGTCCGTCTATGGGATGTCAAAACAGGATAATAAAAAGCCGTATTAGATGGTCATACTAGTTATGTCTACTCAGTCTGTTTCTCTCCTGATGGAAGTACATTAGCTTCTGGTAGTGATGATAACTTGATCTGTCTTTGGGATGCTAAAACAAAGAAAACAATAGTCAAATTGGATGGTCATAGTGGAACTGTCCACTCAGTCTGTTTCTCTCCTGATGGAAATAAATTAGCTTCTTGTAGTAATGATTAGTCTATCCGTCTATGGGATGTCCAAACTGGATAAGAAATTAAATCCTCTGATAAAAACCACAAAGATATTCTTGCATAATTGAAGATTCCACTCCTATAAAATAGTCCTATATCAGAAGGTAATATTAACAATATCTATATTTTAAGCCTCCAATTACATTACAACACTCCTAATATCCCAAAAAACAATATTTCAAGCTAAAGGAGCTTTAATCAAGAAAGGAGAATTTATTAATCAATCAGGTATTGATTTAAAGTCATTATTTAAACAAAAAGGAAGTTGCATTTTAGAATAACTTTGGTAAAATTGATTTTGATAATTTATCAAAAAAAATAGAAAATATTTACAATCAATATTTTTTATTAATTATGTCTGTATTAGTTCCAATCTTCATCTTTATTTCTTAAGTGCATATTTTTAAAAGTTTATTCCATTATAGTGAATTGTACACCTGATTTGCTTAAATATTATAACAATCTATGGTGATTTTGGTGTAGAAAAAAATTATTGAGATGTCATAAAAACTGTTCTCACTTTGTACTACATTAAATTAGTAATCTAAACAGAAAACAGTAAGCACAATGAAGTATAATTCATTTATGATATTATTTGATAGATTTACTTAATTTATTACTATTTATAAACGGGATTAGTCTTAACAAAATAATTCATAATTTTGTAATATTAGTTTAGAAATAGTAAAAGTTATTTTTTATAACAAAGATAAGAATAGAGATATATTTTAAATTATATTTAAATTTATGTATTAAAATATTTGTAATTAAAATTACTCATATATATAACAATATCCATTTTTATGATTTCAATTGACAGAGTAGATTTATAATTACAAGATCAAATTTTAATAATGCAGTTTAAATATAATTTTATAAAAAATACATTTCCAAGTCTGATACAAAGTGAAAGTGTAAATATTTGAATTCAATTCATATTAATGATAAATATTTAAAAAAAAGCCCTTTGATTATAGTTGTATATAATTTCATTAATTTCATTAATTTCATATTAAAAAGTGATTCCAAAGATGTAAAAAGACATTATCTTAACATGTAATGAAAAAAATTATTATATTTCTTATCATTTTATCTTTAAAGGTGTATATTGTCGATTAATTTAATATTTTAATCTTATGGTTCGATGCTTTATTGTAATCTTTATATTTTGATATCTCATTTAGAATTTTCAATGTGATAAGAAGAGTTCATTTTAAAATTGATGAATGAATATATATATAATATAAACTTTATCCAGCATTTTATAATTGAATATATTTCTATATTTTCATTATTGTTTCTTTAGCATACCTAAAGCACTAAGCCTTTTTGTTTGTGCCTCCTTATCTTGGGGATTGATTTTTAAAGCATTATCATAGCACTTAATCGCTTCCTCAAAACGATTCAATTTATATAATGCATTGCCTAAAATAAAATAAATAAAAAATTCAAATACCTTTGTTATGGAAAGATAAAAAATTATTAGGATTGATTGTTAAGATTTTATCATAGCACTTAATGGCTTCCTAAAAACGATATAAATTTTATAATGAATTGCCTAAATTAAAAATGAAAAAATATTACCTTTTTTATTGAGCACATCACAATCTTATGGATTTATATTTAAAGCACTATCATGGCACTTAATGGCTTCTTCAAAACGATTTAATTTATATAATGCATCTCCTAAATTAAGTATAAAAAAAATCGGTTACCTTTGTTATTGAATGCTAAACAATTATTAGGATTGATAGTTAAAGCTTAATCGTGGCACTTAATAGCTTCTTCAAAACGATTCAATTAATATAATGCATTGCCTAAAATAAAATAATCAAATCATATACCTTTGTTATTGAATGCTAAACAATTGTTAGGATTGATTTTTATAGCATCATCAAAGCACTAAATGGCTTCCTCATAATTATTTTAATTTAGTAATGAATTGCCTTGATTAATATTATAAATGAATTGATTTACCCTTTAGGAGATAATTTCCTGCACTAATACCATCTTTTGAAGAATTAGGTTAGAATTTACATGCTTCATCATCTTATTCATAATCTAGTAATTATTTGCCTACAATTTTTTATCTTTTTTATTCATCTTTCAATTATAATTCTTATGCTTTTTATTTTTTCTAAGTTTCGATTGAATCTTATTATTTTAAATGAGTTGAATTATCGCTTATTTCTTATATTTTAATATCATCAATTGTTAATGTTTCAAATGTCTTAATAGTTTTATTCAATTCTTTTNATACATTAAGAATATATTTAAAAAATAAAGTTAATACTAGAAATAATTTATAAAATAATAAATATAAAACAATTAGATTTGATGATTTTTCAAAAGTAGCTGAATTACTTTGATTTATTCAAATGAATTAATTATAATATTCCTTCACTTATTAATATTACTTTTAATCTCTTAAACTTTAATTTCAATAACAATTTAAGATTTCAGCTAAATAATTAATATATGGGATACCTATTTATTAATATGATAGTTCAAATGTTGAATTAATTTTAATTATATCTTTGTATACTTATATTGCGTATTCGATTAAGTTATTCAAATATGCAGCTTACTCGATTCTATAAATTATTAGCTTAAAATAGGAGAAATTTTAAACCTTTTTAATTTATAAACTTCAGATTATCTGGTTCAACTTACTATAATTGGTCAACTAGTTCAATTGATTAATATTTGAATATATAAATATAAACGCAGTTTCTAATTTTATGGATATTCATTAGGATTATAGAATTTATCATGTTAGAAATACTAATAAAAGTTGAAATCTAAATTTCAATTTTAGACGACTCTGGAAAAAGATTTTTCAATTTGTTTGCAAATGGATGGTTAATAAATCCTTATTATATATGTAATTTTCTTTCAAACATGCCTGTATATACAGATAAATTAAAATTCCAAAAATGTATCCAACATTTTAAATTGCTTTTAATAATATATTTTAAATTATATTTAAATTTATGTATTAAAATATTTGTAATTAAAATTACTCATATATATAACAATATCCATTTTTATGATTTCAATTGACAGAGTAGATTTATAATTACAAGATCAAATTTTAATAATGCAGTTTAAATATAATTTTATAAAAAATACATTTCCAAGTCTGATACAAAGTGAAAGTGTAAATATTTGAATTCAATTCATATTAATGATAAATATTTAAAAAAAAGCCCTTTGATTATAGTTGTATATAATTTCATTAATTTCATTAATTTCATATTAAAAAGTGATTCCAAAGATGTAAAAAGACATTATCTTAACATGTAATGAAAAAAATTATTATATTTCTTATCATTTTATCTTTAAAGGTGTATATTGTCGATTAATTTAATATTTTAATCTTATGGTTCGATGCTTTATTGTAATCTTTATATTTTGATATCTCATTTAGAATTTTCAATGTGATAAGAAGAGTTCATTTTAAAATTGATGAATGAATATATATATAATATAAACTTTATCCAGCATTTTATAATTGAATATATTTCTATATTTTCATTATTGTTTCTTTAGCATACCTAAAGCACTAAGCCTTTTTGTTTGTGCCTCCTTATCTTGGGGATTGATTTTTAAAGCATTATCATAGCACTTAATCGCTTCCTCAAAACGATTCAATTTATATAATGCATTGCCTAAAATAAAATAAATAAAAAATTCAAATACCTTTGTTATGGAAAGATAAAAAATTATTAGGATTGATTGTTAAGATTTTATCATAGCACTTAATGGCTTCCTAAAAACGATATAAATTTTATAATGAATTGCCTAAATTAAAAATGAAAAAATATTACCTTTTTTATTGAGCACATCACAATCTTATGGATTTATATTTAAAGCACTATCATGGCACTTAATGGCTTCTTCAAAACGATTTAATTTATATAATGCATCTCCTAAATTAAGTATAAAAAAAATCGGTTACCTTTGTTATTGAATGCTAAACAATTATTAGGATTGATAGTTAAAGCTTAATCGTGGCACTTAATAGCTTCTTCAAAACGATTCAATTAATATAATGCATTGCCTAAAATAAAATAATCAAATCATATACCTTTGTTATTGAATGCTAAACAATTGTTAGGATTGATTTTTATAGCATCATCAAAGCACTAAATGGCTTCCTCATAATTATTTTAATTTAGTAATGAATTGCCTTGATTNAATATATTTTAAATTATATTTAAATTTATGTATTAAAATATTTGTAATTAAAATTACTCATATATATAACAATATCCATTTTTATGATTTCAATTGACAGAGTAGATTTATAATTACAAGATCAAATTTTAATAATGCAGTTTAAATATAATTTTATAAAAAATACATTTCCAAGTCTGATACAAAGTGAAAGTGTAAATATTTGAATTCAATTCATATTAATGATAAATATTTAAAAAAAAGCCCTTTGATTATAGTTGTATATAATTTCATTAATTTCATTAATTTCATATTAAAAAGTGATTCCAAAGATGTAAAAAGACATTATCTTAACATGTAATGAAAAAAATTATTATATTTCTTATCATTTTATCTTTAAAGGTGTATATTGTCGATTAATTTAATATTTTAATCTTATGGTTCGATGCTTTATTGTAATCTTTATATTTTGATATCTCATTTAGAATTTTCAATGTGATAAGAAGAGTTCATTTTAAAATTGATGAATGAATATATATATAATATAAACTTTATCCAGCATTTTATAATTGAATATATTTCTATATTTTCATTATTGTTTCTTTAGCATACCTAAAGCACTAAGCCTTTTTGTTTGTGCCTCCTTATCTTGGGGATTGATTTTTAAAGCATTATCATAGCACTTAATCGCTTCCTCAAAACGATTCAATTTATATAATGCATTGCCTAAAATAAAATAAATAAAAAATTCAAATACCTTTGTTATGGAAAGATAAAAAATTATTAGGATTGATTGTTAAGATTTTATCATAGCACTTAATGGCTTCCTAAAAACGATATAAATTTTATAATGAATTGCCTAAATTAAAAATGAAAAAATATTACCTTTTTTATTGAGCACATCACAATCTTATGGATTTATATTTAAAGCACTATCATGGCACTTAATGGCTTCTTCAAAACGATTTAATTTATATAATGCATCTCCTAAATTAAGTATAAAAAAAATCGGTTACCTTTGTTATTGAATGCTAAACAATTATTAGGATTGATAGTTAAAGCTTAATCGTGGCACTTAATAGCTTCTTCAAAACGATTCAATTAATATAATGCATTGCCTAAAATAAAATAATCAAATCATATACCTTTGTTATTGAATGCTAAACAATTGTTAGGATTGATTTTTATAGCATCATCAAAGCACTAAATGGCTTCCTCATAATTATTTTAATTTAGTAATGAATTGCCTTGATTAATATTATAAATGAATTGATTTACCCTTTAGGAGATAATTTCCTGCACTAATACCATCTTTTGAAGAATTAGGTTAGAATTTACATGCTTCATCATCTTATTCATAATCTAGTAATTATTTGCCTACAATTTTTTATCTTTTTTATTCATCTTTCAATTATAATTCTTATGCTTTTTATTTTTTCTAAGTTTCGATTGAATCTTATTATTTTAAATGAGTTGAATTATCGCTTATTTCTTATATTTTAATATCATCAATTGTTAATGTTTCAAATGTCTTAATAGTTTTATTCAATTCTTTTATGAAGGAATCTTAAAATAAAATAAAAATAATTTTACTTTATTTTTCATAGGAATCCTTTGAATACAATAATTTTAATAAGGGAATTTATTATTTAACAAATTAGTATGATTGATTTTGTAATTCAGAATCTATTTGCTTTAATATTTATATATATTATTCCAATTTTTTTTAATTTTTTTCAAATACTTAGACTAACTGACTCTTAATTTGATGATATTAAGTAATCAAGTTGGTATGTGTTTTAATATGTTCCTTTATTACGGTACTTAAATTATCGAATCTTAAACAATCATTAGGATGGTCTTAATGTACTTTGGTCAAACATTTGAAACAAAACTAGGTGCTCTTCTAACAATCCTTATTGATGCAAAATCCCATAATTGATTCATCTTCATGATCGACGAATTGACATTTGAATACTTTCATAATTTAATTTATAAAAAGTTTAAGATATGCTCATTCTTTTATAATTGCAATAAACAGAATAAGAGAGTTTGGATATTTTATTAAAATATTAATGATAAAATAAATAATTAAATTTTATTAATAACAACTACCAAATTCAAAATTTATATCCAATAAATTCATTGTATAATTCAGGATATCTCAAAAAATAAAATAATTAATGGAAGGATCTCAATAACAATAGATTACTATTCTCAATGCTAATTATCCAATTTCAATTAACGGACATATTAATTACTTTTTGAACTACTTAAGTTATTATTTTAAGCTCAAAATAGATGAACAAAATGATAAAAAAAGTATCAAATATCACCCATTAATTCAAGAAAAAAATAAATTACAACAATTTTATGAAGAACCATATAATTATTATTCAAATAACTTTTTAAAGTCCCTAAATTATCAATATAAATAGTTTGAAGAATCAATTTATATAATAATGCTAAAATTCAAACATAAGTCATGGTATGGGAAATTTAAATAATTTTTACTGTTTTTAGTAATATGATTTCATTATTTGGATTGATCTAATTTTGGGTTTGTGAGATAAAGAGTTAATGTTTGCAAATGAAATGACTTGTCAATAAATTTTCATTACTTTAAGCTCAACAGTGAAAGATATATGGAATTAATAGATATTGATTATGTTTTAAAATAATTTGTTTATCAAGACTTCAGGTATGCATGTAGAATGAGTAGGGTATGTTTGAATAAGTAGAATGAATAAAAAAATAATATAATGATTGGCTTTGATGAATCGACAATTTTATATCAATTTAATTTTTTCTTTATCCTGATACTAAAATTTTACAATTGATTTTTATAACCTGTAGATTATCCAAATCAATCTAATGTTAAAAGATTTTTGAGAATTCGATAAATATGATAATATATTTTAAATTCATTATTCTTTTTCTCTAAACATCAATATAGTAACAATTTTTTATTCTAATCGAATATGCGCATCATGTCAATCGACATCGCTTTATTATTATTGATTTAACACACTCACTAAAAGTAATTCAGTTTCTGAAGTATTAAATGTCAGGTCTTTTAATATAATACCTAATTTATTTAATCTTTTTGTATAATTATAATTTCTGATATTTCACAACAAAAATTGTAAATTAGAATACATTGATTTGATATTCTCTAATTAAGTTACAATATGCTAAAGCCTATTTCATAATTTATTAATAATATTTGATAGATTATTTATTATTTTGCAGAAATAAATATGTGAACACATTATAATAATTTTGCATTATTGTTCCTCTTACAACCATTTTCCTAAACATTTTATTTAAATTGTCAAAAATATTCGGAGAGCACTAGTATAAATAGTCAAAGAATTTTACTTAGAAAATTCTATGTAAGCTAACATTTGTAACAAAAAGGGAACTTTTTAGAGTTCTTAAGTAGTATAACTTGGGGCAATATAATCGAATGTGGCTGGATGGAAGTTTTTAATAATATTGGTTTCAATTAAAAAAAATGAAAACAAATACATGAAAAAAGATTCATAATTCAATTAAAATAAACTCAATTTTGCTAATTCAATCACTTCAAATTTCAAATAAAACTATTTTATTTTCTTCGAATCGAATAACTATAAAGATTATTAAGTTATTTATTTTATTATACTATTATTTTTTTACCAATCAATAACTTTAATTTCAGATTTAATATATATTGAATTATAAAAAATAAATAATAATTTATACAACTTAATCTAATTTTCTTAAAACGAGTAATAAGGAAGTTTATATTTTGAAATATAATTAATTTATTTATCATAATTATGATTAGAATCAAATAGAAGAACACTATTAGATTGAATTTGATATAATTTTAACACCATAGTTATTCTTTGAAGCTAAATTTTATTAAGCTTAGCTCTTTAGGTATTTTTTTAATTTAAAATACCTTTAAGCTATTCTCTATTTTTAGACATTACTATTTGATAACAATTTTTGAAATACTGCATATTTTGTAATACATGGTAAGATAATAATGATTATTCCCTTAATTTTATCGAACAAAACGGAATTCTCTTCTACAAAAGTCAATATTATTTCTTTGAGAATTTTTACTAAATATTGTAAATTAAGAGTAAAAAGAATAATTAAATATGGTATCTAAATTTCGTATGATTTAATCTATTGATCAATATAAATTCCTATTCCAACTGCTATAGATATTCCACAAACATTTGCTGAATAAGCATCCAATTTATTTAGAATGAATAATGAATAAGGTTGATATTTTTAACTTAGTTGCCAATATAAATATACTAATGCCAATAGTAAAATACCTTTTTTAACAATATTTTCATCATAATAAGATAGAAATATAATTAGAAATTATTTTACAATAATTTTAATTATTTCCCAATAATATGCTTATATTTTATATTCATTGTATAAATAACCCCATTTCTACCTTGTTTTTTTTTCATTTAATTATGATTTATTTGAATACAAAGCAATTAAAAAAAATAATGGTATTATCATAGAAATTAAAATTAATATTGGTAAGCAAAATCTGAATAACCATTAATAATGAAGTTCTGTATCATATCGATAAGCAACATTAGCCTAAATCCATTAGAAACCAGATATTTATCTAAATGATATCAATGAAATTAATCTACCCACCAAAAATGGTTAGAGGTATATGTACATATAAATTAATGTTGTAGTTATTACATTTAATCTGTATTTTAGTTTATTTATTTTCAAAATTATCCAATATAATAGTAAAAATAAAAAAATATAAATAAATGGCATAATTATTTACCATATTATTCTTGAATAATGAATTTAAACATCAAACATATCTTTTAATAAACAATCAAGTGAATGAGTCATTGATTGAATTGGATTGCTAATAGAAGTTACAATATTGCCTACATCTATTAATGTTTGAAATTTAAAGGTAAAAATAACAGAAACTATTTACAAATGATTAGTAGTCATTTTTATTAAGATACCAAAATTAGAGCGATTTTACATATTTGATCTCAGTAATCTTGCAATTATCTTTTTAAGTATCATTTATTCATTCATTGATATATTACTCCTAACTGAAATTAATATTGAGATTAAAGTCCTAAATATATAATTATAAAAATATACCATAAACTTATTGCAGTAATTGCAGCAATATTTTAATTATTCTCAACACAAGAACCACAAGAATATTTTGTACTTGTTGAATAATATCCAAATCCTCTTATGTTATATATATCACATTCTTCACATAATGCTCCTACATGACCTTCATAACAAGATATATCTCCTTCTATCCATCCACCATTACAATTATCAAGTAAATTGATACATTGACTTATATAATCAGTATCAAAATATGGTCTCCAAAATCCTTACTTTAATTTTAATTATGCTGATTTAATTTCACTAGTTGAGACATCATCTTTCTAAGAACAATTATTAGAATTTAACACTAATGAATATAAACCTTATGTTGCATTACAAGGTATACAAGTACCATCAAAAATACTTTTAATTTCACCTAATTAACAAGGTAATGTTTTGATATTCATTCTTAAAAAATAATTATTATGATATCCTATAATTTCTGAATTTTTTCCATAAATAGGAGTGAATATTGAATTACAATGAAATTATAATTATAAAGTGAGATTCTATAAATCATCTAAGTAAAATATAATATTATCAAAATTATAATCTGATTAATTGAATGTTACATAAATAAAACTTGTAAATTCTTTTGTAAAATTTGAATCTTCATTTTCATTAAGTATCCTACCACTTATTTCACATTCAGTATTTATTAAATTTTCTTAAACATTATTAAATAAATCTAATGGAATTAACCTCAAATGTAAATTATATTACATATATTCTTATTTTTTCCAATCAAAAAATTAGTATTTAGACATTTCTTAACCATTTGGAACATATAAGTATTCAGAATAATATTTTTGAAATAATTTATAATTTCCAATCTTAATTTCTTCTATTAGAATATTTTCTTTCTGTAGAACTTTTACTTTAGGTAAGACATTATCTAAATCAATAGAGACTGATAATTAAGAAGGAAGTTAAGCAAAATCATTCCCAAATTATTATCCTGTATTACCATGAATTATAGTTCCTTATTTAATTAAATTTTAAACTATCTAATCCTTTAAGAATAATCCACCACCAAATTAAGCTTTATTAAATTAAATCACAGAGTTCAATACAAAAAAACTCTCATGTCCAATAACATATATTGACCCACCATATGATTTAGCTGTATTGTTTTAAAAAATAGAATCTTTAATTAAGGTTTTTATATCCTAAATTGAAAGACAAGTACCTCTATAAGCAAAGTTTTGAATACATTTATAATTTTGTAATCTTAAATCATATTGTTTTTCATTGATATTCTAAATTAATGATTGTAAAATTCTTAATTTTTGTATAGATTAGATTACATTCAAGCAACTCTATTCCCCACATTAATTATCATTAAAAATAATTGAATTCATAATTATTTTGCTCTAATTATCCTGAATATTTATATTTAGTAATCCTTTTTGACAAATTTCACATTTAATGCTTATTAAATGAATTATTGAGATCTCTATTAATGTTGTTTATGTATCAATATCTATAAGACTTGGTATTGTTAATTATTGCAAATTCATTTAATCAATTATACAATAACTATTTTATAGATTATCTTGGATTGATTAATGCAGCAACAAAATAGGAGACTCTTAAAGGGCTGTATCCTTAGAACACATTTATTGAAGAATTTCAACCTTTTATGATAACAGAGTACATTTTTCTTTTATAGGTATTTGATTCAAGATTTCTAGATTATTAACGTAGAATTCTACAATCCTGATTGAAGAATTACTTTACATCTAATTTAAACTCACTAATGAATTTAATATTATTGAGTTTGAAATACTGAGGTTTTATAAT